TGGATGAAGGGGGACAAAAAGAGACAATTTATACAGTAGTTTGAGAGGGTGATGTAGCTAACACCCTCCCGGCCAGGGATGAAAAGAAATATTACAGTGGAGGAAAATATTTGACCTACAAGACAGACTCTTAAAAAATAAATCTTAATTTGTAGATTTTGAATAAGTGAAAAAATTGATTACAGGTCTTCCTTATTAATCATATGGGATACTGTATGTTCCTTGATTAGGGTATTTGTTATGAGGAACCCATTATAACCTGTTAGAATAAGTGGCTATGTTCATAGTTCGCTCCAGAAGACCTACAGTTGAAGTCAAAAGTCATACAAATGGACACAGTACAGTAGAGTGATGTCTGATATATAATACTGTATACACTAATTATATAACATAGAAAGTGTTGATGTCATTGAATAAAGAAAGATCCTAAGAGCTTAACACAAAATCAAAACCTGCATCACACTGAGAGAGGAATTGGTGAACATCTGTTGCCAAAAGTAACTATTGAGAAACTGATAATTCGTACTCAAAGAGAAGGTTGCTACATCTTGCTCTACCTTGAGAATTGGAAACTTTACTGAGGTCTGTCATGATTAGTGGGGAGACCTGTATGTCGAACTTTCAAAGTAAAACAAATTGGTAGTTATTTTGATGATGTAGAGGAACAAACAGTCAACTTCAACAAATTGTGACAGTTGCTAAGGTTACCAGAAGTTGACACAACGTTGTTAATATGTTGATATCTCTGTGGCAGCTGTCAATCCTGAGTTCAGTGTAAGATTGACTGTGTTGTGTGATAGAGTAGGAGGTGCCAGTGTGGTTTTCAGGTTGGTATCTTCTGAACTGTAAACGCTTGATATAGAATGTATAATTTTTTGCCGTTGTATTTGTACAGTACTGTATAGAAGTACAAAATGCTTAGGGTGTCTCATAAGAATGTGCACATACACTGCCTTACAGATTTTCCTGGCAATCACATGAACACTTGTATTACAACAGCAACATTGTCCTTATTTGTTGATGTAGGTTGTACATCAACAGGTGAGGACAATGTTGCTGTTGTAATACAAGCATTCACTTGATCACGGCACAAATCTGTAAGGCAGTGTGTGCATACATTTTTTGAGACACCTTGTACTGTACAGTACAGTATGTGGGATTGATTCTATCTCTCTTGTGATGGTTTCTACCACCATATACGACCATAGTACAGTAGATGACCGTCTGTTGTGCACGGCTCTCTCATCTTTTAACACAATGTTGGTGATTAGTTTATGATTTTAGATGTTTGTCAGAGCTTTCACCAGTAAATAATTAATTACATGTTCAAGCCACAGCTGCCCCCAGTACTGTACTGTATACCTTGCTGTTGAGTTTGGGTCTACAACTTTGGTTAAGAACCTGACACTTGATGATACTACTCTATTTTAATTTTTGTGCTTCAAATAATATAATATACTGTACTGTATCAAGGTAAAGAACTTCTAAGACAGTTTACTCTTGTTTACTGCACAAGTTATCTTTTATGATTGGTTAGATTCTGTGCGGAGTTATGGAGGGATGGGTTAGGTTAGCCAGCCCCCGAGACAGTTTTGTCTATATTTCTCAGAACGTGTTGTCTAGATCCCTATATTTTGTTAATTATTTATATCTCTGACAAAATGTGATGAGGCTTCTCATGTGGTTTGTCACCTTCATATGACAGGACACTGTACTGCTTTGTACTGTACTGTAGTGGCTTATCAAGAGTTCCGTGTCATTGCAAATAATTCTCACACATGGACACTGACATAGTCTTGTGTTCGCTACGGTGAATATTGGAATATTTTGTGCAATATCATCTCTCATGTGCTTGTGTATTGTAGCGTTCATTTCATCTGCTTTTCATTTCATGTCTTCTTAAGCAGTTAACATCTTAATACTGCACTGTTCTGTACACTTAACTCATTAGAAGGTTTAGGTCCCAGAAGCAATATAAAGTTATGGTAATAAATGAGAGGATGATATTTTCTTAGGTAATACTGTACTGTACTGTACTGTACTGTACTGTACAGTATTTAACACATCGATGAGGCAAAACTTTATTCACTTGATTCGACAAGATTGAAAGATTAAATCCAAATTTTATGTCTAACTTCTGAGTTTTTACTTCATGAGAGAATCCATATTTTTAACTTATTGTTAATATTATTAATAATATAATAACCCCCCAAAAATAGTGTGCAGAAAGAACACACAAACACATGTACACTCCTGTACATACACACACACACACACACGTGCATAATGTGTGCCTGCAAACATACACAGGTGTATGTTTTAACTATAATTTAGAGATACTGTACCCTTGATATAGTGTAAGTTCAAGATATAGGTATATTAAATAGGTTGTTTATAATGAAATTGTACCTAAAGGTTTATTCAGTAGCCGTATTATTATTAAAAATGTACTTTGATGGGCTACTGCTGGAGTCATGAGTCTCCCAATGTTTAAAGAAAATTTTAATAAAGGAATTTTTGTAAAGCTGTAAAATATGGAGGAGAATCATGGGTTAAGTAGTAGCCAACAAGAGAAATATTTTCATAATACTGTTGTGGTCATCTGTACAGTACTTGGAAGGATCCACTTTACCTGAGGATTCACAGTAACATGTCAACCAAAACCACATTAATAGGTGGACACTTATATTTCAACAATATTATTCTGGTGACCACTGACAGCTTCCCGCATGTGGCCTCACTATTGTGCTCATTGAGAGATACTAACACCCCCAGTTCAGGTCTACAGATGATGACAAACAACAATGTCTAATGTGAAGTTGATTCTCTGTGAGGCGAGCACAGGAACTGTACTGTTGAAATATAAGTATCTGCACGTGAGTGTGGGTCTACTGTACGTGGCTTACTGTCTCACACTCTTGAGGGAACTAGTAAAATATGGGTATCATTTTACCTTGGTGCTGTTTACCGTGACAAGGAAAAGCCGTTGTGTAAAAGGGATATTATGTATTAAGTAAATGATAGTACCTAACAGATAGTGATTTTTAACTCCTGGGGAGTCTGTCTGTTTTTCTCAGATTGTTGTAGTCTGTGCTAAACAGAGTGCAGTTTTTGTAGTGTTGACGTAATGGAGGAAAAGTTATTTATTGACTATGCTTGTGTGTGTAAATCTTGTGTATATAACATATTAATTTTTGAATGAAAAGGAAGGAAGAGGCTCATTATATATTGAGTACATACAGTGCTGCTGCTGCTGCTGCCGCTTCCTTTAAATTTTTTTTTTTAGAATGTGAGATGTGTGTAAGTGTGTGTCAAGTTTATGCCATGTGCATTATTTAGAATGCTCTGTGATAATGAATTACTAGCTACACCTGGAGGTGATACTGAATTTGAGCCATTTTTGCTCCCATTTATAAGCCTCTTTAAGTATAATGTTCTATGTGATATGTATATTGTGCTACAAGTTAATCTTGAGACAAGTTTTTTCTTTTGATAATTTATCTTGTCTTATGTTTTCAGAGTCTTAAACTGTCATGGAATGTAGAGTCTTATTCTCACATTCTGTGATGACTCGCATTTCTTGTTTTTTTTAAGCTTTGTCTGAGGCCACTTGGTGTTTCTGTCAAAAATAATAATAATTTGATAACCAATTACTTTAGTGTGACGGTACACATCACATCACTACTGTACAGTACACTAAATGGTCAACTTTATAAACAAAACAGATGCCTCTGGGAGTCATCGGCTGCAACACTTCGTTCTTCATCTTATAAATTTTGGTCCTTTGCTCTCGCATATTTATTAATTTATTTGTTCTTCTCATAATACCATAAGTAGTCCAGTAAAAAATTCCATTCTCATTTTGGTGATTTCTTTTATGCATAACTGTACCATACCGTACCTAGTAGCTGAAATTCATCATGTTTATGGAGGTAAAATACCTCTTGTTTGACAGCTTTAACTGCCTTCAGGTCGTTGATAAATAATGAAAGTTTGCTGCCTCGTTGGTAACATTCCCAGAGTTAAGTTGAGCCGTTGCCAGTTTTGTCCCGTCGGTGCTGGTGTGGTCACGCGTCTCTCTGACTTCAGGGATGATTTGGTGCAAATGCCGAGACTAATTTTGCCATAGGATCAGCTTTTTATGCAACAATTCAAGCTTGTAAGAAATTAAATGCTGCAGAGGGGATTTTGGAATATCCATTACAAAATTGTTCACAAGTCATATCAGTATCTCGGTTATGTAGATTTATCCGGGTTCAGAATAATCTGGCTTGTTAAAACTATAATACTTGGGCTCTGTACAAGCTATTCATTGTTTATCTGTCTGTATCAAATTGGAAAGATAGACAATTAATAGCAGCACAGTAATTGTCATTCATCTAAATAAAGTTTGATGCGAATAATGACCACTTTGGGTAATAAAAAATGATGCTGGTTTACATGTACTGTAAGCTACTGTCCAGTGTCCACAAACATACCAGTTAGTGTTCAGTCACCTGAAAGAAATATGTGAAGAATGGGCTTGAAAGTGAAAGGTGATAAGCACAAGTATAATTGTTAGACTTTCAGGGGCTAGCTAAGTTTAACCAGATTTAAAGCATGTTATATTATATCCTGTAAGTGCAGTTCTAGAATTTAGGCCTTAAAAAATGTTGTGAACAAAGCCAACTTAGCTAATGTTGTATTAGAGTTGTTGAAATTATGTTGTAGCAGAAAGCACCCAGAGTTTACTTAGTAAAGTATTGTTGGTTATCACCGTGTACATATGCTGTATATACGGTTGTGTATATAATGTAAATTACTTCAAATCAAATCAAGGGATGTATGGTTATTTAACTATCATTACTATTATAATGTTATAGATTCAAAAGTGGTTACTTTTCATACAATAAACGAAGAATTAGAAAGGTGATGTTTCTTTCTCCAGAGTTAAGTACAGTACAGTACTGGGCTCCCTTTGTGAGGTGGTAAAGGGTTATTGACGGAAAGAAAGGACATCATTTTGAGAAAGTAATTTATTGGACATACCAGTGTACCATTGAGGCTTCTGAGGTAAAATAATGTTAGAATCCATCAACCAATGTTGTTGCAACATGATAATATTATTGAGCATAAACTGATCAAGACGTCCTGCCCCATAAACTCCACCAATGTTGACACTTTGCCTGTGTGGAGAGAAACACACACAAGTGAAGTAGTAACTGCTCTAACTACTGTACAGTACAATACTGTTTATTTCAAGGCTTATGCATACCTTTGCAGTTTCTTGTCTTACTGCACAACAATATTCTGTAATTTTATCTTTATATAATAGAGTATCCTGTTAACATGCAAAATACTTAGCATAGAGTACAGTGCAGTATTCCTCCCACAATACCTTAGTGTTGTTAGAGGACATAAGACCAACCTTGAGGGTGTAGAGGCTCAGGGTGAGCAAGACGTGGCCCATCATGACAAATGCTATGAAGGTCGTCACTTTGGTCGCTTCCTGCAGTGAGGTTGACAATTGGTTACCTTTTAAAATTTTACTAGAAGTTTGTATCATATTTACACATACTAAATCAGATGGAATAATCAAGGAAGGAGGACGTAGTACAGTTAGGTGTATGTGTTGTTTTAGGTAAGTGAATAAAGTAAGATTTGATGGCACACCAATGGTACATAAGAATGGAGGTAACTGCAGCGGACCTTTTGGCCCATACTGGGCAGTCCCGTCTACACCCAGCCCCTATTGATCATATATCCATCCAACCTATGTTTGAAGCTATCCAGCATTTTCAAGTTAATGAAGATGTTTGGTAACTTGTGCCATTCATCCACTATATTTACAAACCAATGTTTACCTATTTCGCACCTAAATCTAAATTTGTCTAATTTTAAAATCATTACTACGAGTTCGCTACTGGTTGGATAGTTTGAGTACCTTTGTTAATTCCTGACTTCCATTTATACACCTCTATCATATCGCCCCTCACTCTATGTCTCTCGAGGGAGTGCAAATTAAGATGCTTTAACCTGTCTCTGTACTCAAGGTTCCTAATGCCTGGGATAAGTCTCGTCATTCTCCTCTGAATTCTTTCTATGAATTCCATATCCGTTCTGTAGTACGGTGACCAGAACTGAACTGCATAATCCAAGTGAGGTCTCACAAGAGCAAGATAAAGTTTTAAGATGACCTCGCTAGTCTTGTAACTAACACTCCTTTGTATGAACCCAAGTACTTTATTAGCTTTGTTTCAAGCAAATACACATTGTTTACTTGGCTTAAGATTCCTATTTATCATTACTCCTAAATCTTTCTCACATTCGGATTTCTCTATAACATCGTTGTAGATTTCTCTATAACATCGTTGTTCATCTGGTATCTGGTTTCTCTGTTTACATCTCCTAGACTAAAAACTTTACATTTGTCCACATAAATTTGGACAGTCAAGGAAGGTCTGTACAGCTACAGAGGACAATAAAAAGGTGAGCCTCCAGGAGCAAGACATCAAATAGTTAAAAGATGTTTCACAATTTATGTTAGCTCCACATCATTATATATTGGACTGTTTCAGTGAAATGTCAATATTGTATACTGTATTGTAGGCTGGACTACTGGTAATGGTGACCTTCAGCGAGGGCTCCACATGGAAGGAATTCCTAGTCATAATTTAAAGTGAATCGGGAGAATCAATTCCACTATATTTCTTGGAAACATTGTGATGAAGGAATTAATAGAAATATGATTACAAGTATACTGTAACAGTATGTTGTCTTGCTTAAATTTTGTTGATAAATTAGAGAAAAAATATAAATTTTTTCAGAAAAAAAAAATGCAACAGCAGTGGTTTACTATGAGTGGACTTAGAATGTCAAACAGCCACTGAATTACTCAACTGCATCCCCTCCCAGCGACAGTCTATATATCATGGCCCCTTTTACTTTATCTCATCTGTTTGCAGAGTAAAACTTTACCAAAATCCTGTAAAATGAGTAGAAATTGCCCAACAAATGATATTTGTGCCTCTGGTGAGAAAAAACAAGGAAACTGATTAATCTAGACGTTAAATTACAGTACCTGTAGTTGTTTTGAAGCTGGTGAAAGAGCTGCTGACATCACCAGAGTGCTTGGCCTACCCTGCCTTCTACAGTCAGTGTGATCCAAACAGAGAACACAGCTCTACAGTCAACAAGCTTTGTCTCAGTATCTCCACTGCTCCCTACCCCAGCTGACCTCTGTACTGTATACTATACCAACTCAGGTACAGTAAATGTTCTCTTACTGTCATACATGTATATTTTATATCTAAACATTTATTTTAATTTACAATTATCTAATTTATAGTAGGTTCTCAATATTTTGGTGTCAAAATTTTAAATAGATATGTCTGCCAGGAATGTATCCCTTACAGCTCAGTATTTTTATAATTTTATCTATGTTATGCTTGTGAACGCTACACTAACATTGGATGTCTGACACTGAGTGAGGTATATGTGTACTGCAGTAGAAGTCCCTGCCACAGGTAATTTGTAACTGACCTGAGGGAGAGGAATTGGTGGTCTGATTGTGAACAAGACGAAAATAGCATTCTCGACGCCAGTCCAGTAGTCTTGTCCCCCCACCATGTAAGCCCCCACACTCAGCACGTACCTGCCAAACACACTCACACATAACACCACCAATATATATTTACCATTAAATCAAATTCAGTATTAACATGGTAATTAGACAATGAATTAGCATTATTAACTACACATAGTCAAGTAGTTGAAATACTGGATGAAAGTTTTCAACAGCTTTGTATAAGGCATAATTCTGGTGATGAGGAGCACTGTAATTAACAAACTAATACTGCGTTAACTTATACTAACACTTAAGATTGTTTTTCTTACGGTAATAAATGATGGCCTGAATCTTCTGTAATCTGAGCTAAATAATATAAGACTAAGCCAGGTAAGATGTTTTGTTCTGGACCTTCCATAACCTAAACACCATAACTAATTTATATGAGATTAATTTATGTTCAGATACAATGTTCTGGATTTTCTCTAACCCAAATTAATGAAAATCATGTGAAGTCAAATTAGATTAGGTAAGGAGGGTAAGAGCGAAACAAACACATATTGAAGGCAGAGCTGGTACAGTAACTCACACCAGAAGAATGCTGGCCAGTGTGACAAGCCTGGGTAGGGTGTAGGGGTGTGGGGCAGGTGGTGGGCGGCTCTGCATACTGTGGTATGGAGAAGCTCTTGTATTCCCTCCTTGTGAGTCAACCTGGGGTGGAAACATAATGGCTCATCACATCAATATGAAAGTAAAGAGAATTAGAAGATAAAAATTTCAATACTGTACCAGTGTATGGACAGTACAATAGTAAGTATAGGTACTGTATGTTCACATTCATCACTATGAAGGTGCATATATTCTTTAAATATCTATTGTACTCTTATCTTGCCAATTAATAACTCAACCTAAGGTGCTGTCTTAGCACTTTATTGTTTTCTACACATGTGTAAGAATAATAAATAAAATGTTTATATATATGTAGAAAACAAACCTTTTTCCTGGTACACTTTTTGACAATAAGCGAATACGTGGAGCTGAGCCGTGCTGCCCACACCATTATTACAGCCAGGTAGAGGAAGATCCCCAGCAACATGTAGTAGAAAGCAAACATCCTCCCCCCGAGGTTCTGGGCGTGTACGCTGCTGCCGATGGTTGTAACCAGACAGAAGACGTGGAGCAGTGATGGCCACATTGTCCAGGGCAACGGTGAGGGCGGCTCCTCGCTGCTCCACACTAGCTGTCGCTCACCAGCATCCACCTACAACAGACACACACCTTGGTGGTCACTGCTGGCTGGGATCATTGTAGTGTAAAGTACTGTAATTATCCTCAAATGGATTACAAAAGATATTAACAGACTCAGAAACTAAGCAGAGAAAACTGAAGATTGTTGACTGTGGAAGCATAGAGGGAAGCCTATATCTAACAGAAGACTGACACAGGATAATGATGATGATGCTAAATTTACAGGTATTCATCACAGACGTGAAGTGATTTAGAAATACAGTTCTGTACTGTATAAGGAACATATTCAACAATAAGATGTTATAGGACTCAGGTGTGGCATGTTGAAAACACTGCTTCTTGTCTGATCAGCAAAGTTAACCAACGTTGAGTCTGGTTAGTACTTGGATGGGTGACCACCTGGCCTTAAGAACACCAGATGCTACTGGCATAAGGACTCTATTGGAAACAAGCCTTTCTTGGCTTTGTTTAGCTGCTTTTGGTCAAATTGACTAAATATCAATAATAATTATTATTATAACTAATCTCCATGACCTCAGTTCCTAAACAGGCAACATTATACTGCATTGTACAGTACTGGACCAACACACAGAGTCTCTGGTCTGCCTGTATGGACACCTCACAACTTTTTACTCTCACCTTGAAGCCATGAGCGTGACGTGTGACCAGTGTGTGGTAGCGGGCAGTAATGTTGTGTAGCTGCTGCTGCCACTCAATTGTCACAGAGCGACTTAGACGGTCCAACTCCCCATCAGAGGGCAGATGTCTACCCCCAGCTTGCTGTTATGAGAATATACATCACTGACAAATAATTAACTAGACAGACCTGATAGTCAGGTGACAAGAGGATAAAGTAAAGATTTGTAGCCTTGCAAACTTGTCTTTAAACATATATTCTAGCAAGCAGTTCTTGCCATGTAAGTATTCCTATTATTGATCATAAATAACACTATCCTTCACACCAATTAATTGAGATGGTACAGCACAGCAGATGTCAAAACCACTTTAAAAATCTACTCCTTCCCTTTAAGTATTTCTACAAATTGACAATTACATCTACATTGTTGTAAATGGGTGTTGTCCTGTAAATGTTACTCGTATCCATTGTGAATGACAGGTGCCTCATATACAATGTTGTACTGTATAGTCTTATGATTACACCTATAGCCTTATAGTCTGGACACTTACTCATATAAACAAACTTACAACATTGTGAATATACCTCGAATCCTATAAGTACACCTTGAACACTGTAAATATACAGTACCGTATCTGTAACCTTGGAGTCTATATCACCTGGATGGTAAAGCTGGAAGGTTCTGGACACCCTGGAGAGTGTACACCACCAAAGGCTCACCTGGAAGGCCCTGAGAGCATTCTGCATCCTGGAGGAGGTGAATATGGCAGCAATGACCACCTCCTGGCTCCTATCAAGGATAAGGTCGAGGGAGGTGTTGAGGAGACGGTCCACCAACTCCTCCCGGGCGGCGGCCATCTCAGGGTCCCTCGGTGTCCCTGGGAGAGTGACAGTGTTGCGGCTCACCAGTACTGCCGGGTCACTGAATCCTTCTGGCCCCTCCAGCTGTAGCAGTAACAGGTGGTGTTAACTTGGGGAAAGTTAAGTTAGGTTAGCTAAGGTAAAGTTAGCTTAGGTATACTACACTGTACTTAGATTAAATTTAGTTTGGCTTGGGTTAGGTTACACTACTTTACTTAGCTTAGGTAACATGGTTGGGTAGGAGAACCAATGTTTTCCCACAAGCCTGAAGCATAACACTAAAATAAGCCTGCCAGCAGACTAATAAATAGAAATATAACTCACAAGAAGAACTTAACAAGACTTCAGTAAGTTTTAAAAGCCTTAATATTTCTGTGCCTACAAGTACTGTACACTTATATTTTACTCTACAACTCTCTAACTTATGCAAGAGACTACAAATGACTTACAAGAAAGACTACGGTACTGAATGATAAAACTTCAATCAGGGCTAATGTGTCTGTCCAAAAGTTGAGAGGAAATAATAAAAGGATTTAGTGCAGCTTGTGGTGGGATGATCAATGCAATGGTGGTGGGTTGATCAAGGTGGTGGGCTGATCAACGTGGTGGTTAGTTAATCAACGTGGTGGTGGGTTGATCAAGATGGTGGGCTGATCAACGTGTTGGTTAGTTAATCAACGTGGTGGTGGATTGATCAACGTAGTGGTGGTTTGATCAAGAAGGTGGTGGGTTGATCAACATGGTGGTGGTTTGATCAAGAAGGTGGTGGGTTGATCAACGTAGTGGAGGGTTGATCAACGTGGTGGTGATTTGATCAAAAAGGTGGTGGGTTGATCGTGGTGGTGGGTTGATCAATGTGGTGGTGAGTTGATCAAGAAGGTGGTGGGTTAATCAACGTGTTGGTGAGTTGATCAACGTGGTGGTGGGTTGATCAAGGTGGTGGGTTGATTAACGTGATGGTGGTGGGTTGATCAACGTGGTGGTGGGTTAATCAACGTGGTGGTGGGTTGATCAAGAAGGTGGTGGGTTAATCAAGTGGTGGTGGGTTGATGAACGTGGTGGTGGGTCAGTCACCTGGGCGATTCTAAATTTCTACCTTCCTTCCTGAGGTACCTCGGGTCGATCATGTCTCACCCCTCCCTCCTCTTCTCTCTCACCCTTCAACCCCCCCAACCCACACAGGTGGAGGTGTTGTGGTCTTATTATTAATTCACTCTATAAGTCACTCCTATCACCACCAAAACCAGTCTAACACACACCATGATAAAAAACAGTTAACACACACACACACACACACACACATACGGTAAACTGTCCTAAGTCAGTAAGAATGAACATCGTCCACAATATCAATGCATTAGACCAATTACTGATTAAGTAACAATGTTCTGTTTATCCTGCCACCATCAACACTACTACTATCGTCACCACTACTGTACCACCACCACAAATACTATTTCTATCACCACAATCCTTAATACTGTCACCATTATTACAACCCCTACATCACTTATACTCCTGTATCACAATATACTGTACCTACGGTTGCGTATGTGTAATATAGTAAACCTATCTGTATCACGTTAACTTAAATATACATAAGCCGATTTTTTGTGTGACGTGTGTGTGTGAGGCAGTAAGATGGGTCAGGTTAGGTCAGTATACACACAATAAACTAAAGTTAGTATTGATCCCAGACTTGATGCACGCACACACAGATAAAAAACACACAACACACATACGTCGACACACACACACGTCGACACAAACACACACACACACACAAACGGCACCACAGTTCACAAGAGATGATTCACTCCAGCAAGACTTGGAAAGAAAAGTTTGTTGACGAACGACTGACTATAACAATGAAACGTGCACCAAAGATATCTGAGCGGATGGTCAGGTCAGGTCAGGTCAGGTTAGGGAGGGAGGTTGCTTATGAGCATAATTTTGTAGCTTTACTTTTATCCTCTTCACCACTGATCAGCTCGTTAGCCGCCCGGGTGATCGGTCACGTCTCTGTCACTCACTGTTGGTAAGTACTGGGCTGCACCGGCTCCTGAATGTACCTGAACCTGCTCCAGTGTTGGTCAAGTCTTGTCTTGAAACAGCTCACACTCGGTGCCGTCACAACACTCTCTGGCAGATTGTTCCAAGAGTTCACAACTCTCACTCCGAAACAGTTTGCCCTCAAAGTTTTCTGGACTTGTGGCTTTTTCAACCTTGAGCTGTGACCCCTTGTGGGGCGAGCGTCCGCCAGCTCCAGGTATGTAGGTACAGTTGCCAGCAAAAGTCCTCCTACAGCCCTGCTACAGAGAGCTGTGGGAGAACTTTTGCTGGCAACTGTACATTTGACCGAGTAGTTCCCCCCCCAGAAGTTTATACCGCCTAGTCCCTTGACTAAGTAAAGGACTAGAGGACTCTACAGTGCTGGATATAAGCAACTGATGGTGAGGTTTACCATTGTTTGTATACCCGCACTGTTTACCTGAACCTTTAATACACATTGTTTGTATACCTGCACTTTTAGTAAACATTGTATACCTGAAATGTCTACATACAGTAACGCTGAACTGACTTAACTAAGTCATGGTTTCTTTACCGCAATGCATTGTGATTTGTGGACCAAACCCAGTCATCTTTGTTTTTATCCTTCTTGGATTACAAAGGCTGCGTGACATAGCTGTAATTACTTGCTGTTAGAATGCCAAAAGTAAACTCCCGCGTTTCGAACTGTTTCAGTGACAAGGTGAACGTCTTTCATAGAGATAAGTTTTAACACGGTGATGGTAGGGGCTTCTCTCACTCAGGTGAATAAAATCTTTTGGCGTTAGCGAGAATAAAATACCTAACTACAACACCTACTCCTTAAAATTAGACGGTTAAATTTTAGTCGATGATAAGAAAATATGTTTTGCTAAATGGGTGTTAAGTAAGTGTTAGGTTAGGTCAATGTTCGGTTAGGTTAGACTAGGTTAATGTTTAGGTGATTCATCTTAAGGTGAAATAAGCTGGAGGTTAATCCTCGGGTGTTCCAATAATGGTAGAGGTCTTATTATTATTTTTTGACACAAGACTGTTTATTCTTCCTCATAACATTATTATTTTTTTTATTTATAAATTTTACAATTTACATATATACTGTATACATATTACATATTAACATATTTGTAAGTGAAATATTTTGATGACTTTTCTTTTAAAATACACTTGGTCATCCATTTATTATAATATATCCTGCCTTTAATAAAGGCTATAGTCTCCTTAACATAATTTTCTTTCCGACTTAACCACATACAGTAAATATAATCTGACATTAGCGTGATCATTGTATGTCTTATTGGGTAAAATAAGGTCGGAGAGGCACGGGAAGACAGAATGGTGGATGAATGGAAGGACTAGAACCTGTCGATACAACACGTGGGAGGTTTGGTATAAAGACGACCTAACCCACACACCTACACACATACCTGACAACCTCCTAGACTACATCAGGGGGCGTCTTAGTCAGCCATAACACACGCACGACAGCAATGCAGGCATGTTTTATGTAGCTAGTGTTAGGATGTTACCACCTGACATGACACATTGTCAGCAAATATAATTATATATAAATAGACTGAATAATAATGATAATAATATTTCAAACGTACCAGTTATTATTTCTCTGCATTTTACCTATTTCCCTTTCTCTCACTTTTTCGTTCTCTTTCTCAGACTTTTTCTTTCTTTCACGTTGTCTCTCTCATTCTCTCACTTCTGCTTTCACATTCTTTCTCTTACTCGTCCTTTTCACTCGTTTTGCCTCTTATCCGTAAAAAGAAAACCAGTTTCAGTATCTTGGAGAACACAAGTTATCTTGATGAATATGACAGTTATCTTGTGTGTTTGTTTAGTTAACAAAGCGCATGGTATGACTAACACGTGGATCATGCAGAACGAACACAAGGAAATATTTATTCACACAGAAGCTGGTAGACCTATGGAACAGTCTACCAGCTCAAACAATGGAGGTAGATATATGGAACGATCTGTCATTTCAAGCTGTGGAATCAACAGTAATGGGCTTCACAATAGCCTTTGACAAAATTATCAAGAACAATGGAGGGATCGGACACTGGTCACCTTCCCTCGGCATGGCCACCTCTAATGGGTGGCCATTCGTAAATAAAAAACGTTTTTGTACATGTTTAAGTTCAGGTGTTGAAAGTTGGCATACACACAGGAGACTCGCTTTGGAGACGTGAAGACTCATCTTGGAAACATGCACGCCTTAGAAACGTAGAAACTCACCTTGGAGACATGGAGACACCCTGTAGACATAGACTCACCTTGGAGAAGATGAAGGCGCCGAAAATCAAATAGGAGATGAGGACGATGAGTAGCAGAAGGTGTAATGGCAACAGGAGGAGGGAGGAGTAGGGAGCAGTGTTGAGAGCGGCACAGCACGAGCTACAGCCGTGGGTGGCCATACTTTTGGGTTTGACGGGATCTGGCGGGGGTGGCGGTGGCGGCTGGGGCATGGGCCGCCACAGTGGCCGTGCGTGGGTGTCAGGGAGGGCACCGCCACCACCGTGCAGGGGCGGGCGGGTGAGTGCCCCTGTGGTTGTAGTAGCGATGTACTTATGACTCTTCTCAGAGTGGTGACGGTGACGATGTTTGTGCTGGGTCCTGGTATTGTCTGGCCGCCTCAACACAGACGCCAGATTTGTCACACTTCTGCTGTACTTGGTGGATCTACTGTCGTGTTTGTTGCCACCGGTACTGGCGACGGCGACGGAGGCAGCGGTGGCCCGGGAAGAAGCTAAGTCAGCGGCACTCACAGCGGCACTGACGCTGGCCGCAGCTACCCTACCGCTATCAACCTTCGATTTTGCGGCATCTCTGGGTGGCGGCGGCGCGCGACCTGGGAACGGCAGTGTCTGTCTTATAAACTGTCTTCTCTTACTGTCCAAGTAACTTTTGTCCACCTTCAGTATATTGGCACTGTTCCTCCTGGCCCTGTCTCTCCCCTGGGGCGCTCTTTCTCCTCCGTTAGTAAGACAAGCCGGCAGAGACGACGCAGACCTTCGTAAGAGCCACCTCTCCTCCGTCAACACCATCACTGTATCTCCTCCCGTCTTCACCAGCTGTTTGGGATGATCCTCCCGTCGGTCGTCTGTCCTGTCGTGTTGACGGTCAGCCATGCTGGTCCACACGGCGCTCCTGTGAGTGCAAACATGATGGTCATTAATCAACGCGGCTCATTAAGGACGGCGGCACACTGCATTGGGCACTTTCCTCCAAACACTTCCCGTTTTCCTGGCCGCTGGCCTGACGGCCGAGCAAGCAACAGGATTCCTGCTGTTGCGAGAAATGGACAACGGTTTGGCGTGGATTATAGTCTTTGGCGTGGATCTTTGCTGGCCGGATTAGTGCTTAAATGAACTTCATATAATTTCAAATAAAAATTGAAATTTTGGGGGAAATTGCGGGAAATATGATTACTATTATGAAAAGACCTTTGCTTATTATTCCAAAGACTTCAATTCCATGAAGTTTAACAGTGGTTAGTGAATTAATTCTTATTACAAAACAATTTATTTTTCATAATGAAGGTTTAAGACGTCATTTGAGCCATTTTTTTCTAATAACAGTACAGTTCTCCATTACAAGTAATTTACTAGTTTACTGCCTACTAGCGCGCGTATCAGAGAGAGAGAGGGAGAGCTTTTATGCATAAAAGTTTATAAAACAAAACCCTAATATAATGCATGCTAATAATGAAATTAAGATATTTTTGTTTAGATAAATATTATTCATTCTCTGGCAATTTTAACGTTAGTTTGGGGAATTCAAGGTTTTGCTTTGTGGGAGCCCGCCCCTGGTGCCAACACATCTCACAGATCTAGTGACGCCAAACGTCTTGGTTTGGCTGGTGGACCGTGGACCGTGTTTGCCAGTGTACCGCCACCTTAAGAAAACATCACTCGCCAACACCATCAGTATTATGTGAAAATACTCCACCATGCTCGTCCACCTTGAGGTGAGAGCATTTCTCTTGTACAGCATTCAGGCAATTTCTTGCCAACATGACAACAACAATGGCTGACCTATCAACCATCCCGGGGTCATGACCTTCAGGTCACAACACCTCACCACAACTTTATGCACCAAAATGAAGGTAATTTTTCTTATTAGTGACATATCCAATAGAGGAATTTACGTGACTTGTCTGTTCATGTTTATGTCAGTGCTTCATTCTTAATACAATATACAAGTAAACAAACTCTTCACTAACATACTCCCTGAGCACTCTTGATGAACGTAAGCAGATATAATATACAATTCCCAAAACGAGAAGAAACTTTCAAAAATAGGAGTAATACCCGCATAGGAATCTTCAGGCCCGACGTAAATACTCCTGAGAACTGAGTGGCTCCGCAGCCTATGGGCTATGACACGAACCAAACCAAACCTAACTTTACAAAAAAATAGGTTTTAATTATTCAATTAGGTTGGAGTCTAACCTAACCAAACTATCTTAACCACTAGACTAACTTGAGTAGTATGCCATCATAAATACTGTAATTTTGACCAGTAGCCTCGCCCATTTGAGACCTTAATAACTTGGGAAAATTTAATTATACGAAATTGAAGTTGAAACTATGTTTTTCCGATGGTTTTTGATGTGTTATGAACGAATTTGATCTTCATTTCTGGCACAAATAAATAGTTTCTGAGATAAGACCCCACCCCCCCCCTTCTTCCATCTCAGAGTCTAGATATGTGCTATAAAAATCAAGGTAAAAAGTGTTCAAAACACATCGAAAACAATCGGGAAAAACAAAATCCTAACCTAACCCAGGGGCTCCACACGATGTTCTGGGTGTGTACTGCCACGGACGAACATACGTAATAAAATGTTAAATATCTCGCTTAAACGTAATTTGCGCCAGAAATTCCATTGAAGAAAAATGTCTTAGAATTGTAAAAAAAATACTGATTGCAACTATAGAATTCCCGAGATGATGCAGTGGCAACATGTGAAATAATCCAGTATAACTTTACGCCCGCTGTAAGAACTTCAATTACTTTTACAGTCCACTTGTGAGAACAAAGGTAAGTGTGCAGATGCTCATTTATTTCGGATCTCATGATGATTAACACTCAATTTATATCACCTATTGATTAAACACCTAAATGCTAACCCAACTAAACCTAACTAAACCAAACCAAACCTAACTTAACCTAAACCATCTTAACCAAGCCTAACTTATCTTAACCAAACCAAACCTAACCTAACCCCAATTAAACATCAGGGTGTTTAATCATCGTGTGAAATAAGGTAAAGATATTGTACTCTTGTTTAAGTTGTATTAAGAGTGTGGCATAAAACATTAATTACCTCACACACCGGTAATTTGTATTTGTCCGCTTAGCCTCCATCCAGTTAACATTCATCCACTTAACATGTATCCAGTTAACATTCATCCACTTAACATGTATCCAGTTAATGTTCATCCACTTAACATGTATCCAGTTAACCTCCATCCACTTAACATGTATCCATTAACGTTCATCCACTTAACATCCGTTAGATTAAATTAGACTAGGTTTGGTTAGGTTAAATTGGGTTGAGTTAGATAGGTTATGTATAATTATGTTAGGTTAGGTTAGGTTTCCAAGTTTTTCCCCCTGTTATATGCGTTTCCGTTTTCTCTCTGTTACCGGTACTGTGTGTGTGACAGGTAATGGTGAAGGTAGTAATCGGTGCTGGTGTGCGTGTGGAGGTCTCTGTGTTGTGGACACGCGACACACACCCACAAACAATCACAGTCACCACACACAGTCATCACACTACTTCAAAATCACCATAATTATCATACCACATCACAGTTACCACATACAGTCATCACACTACCTCACAGTCACCACACTCATGACGTTACCTCAGTCATCACATACAGTCATCACTACCTCAGTCACCACAATCATCATACTACCTCACACACACCACACACACACTCACCAGTCATCACACTTCACAATCATCACACACAGTCATCATACTACGTCACAGTCATCACACCACCTCACACTCACCACACAGTACATCCGCCAGTCACCATTAATTACAAGGTCAGGCTGTTCTCTTGTTTAATCGGTTCTTGCTCTCGCGTATATGTGAGACCTTTAATTCCGCCTCATGGTACAGTGATGGTACAGTGGTGATACAGTGGTGGTACAATGATGCTACAGTAATGGTACAGTGGTGGTACAATGATGCTACAGTAGCCTAATGGTGCAGTGGTGGTACATTAATGGTAATGGTGGTACAGTAATGGTACAGTAATGGTACAGTAATGGTATAGTAATGGTATAGTGATGGTACAGTGGTGGTACAGTAATGGTACAGTGGTAGTGGGAACATTCAAGTTCTTAGAGTTGCTTAAAGACTAAAAGTGATTTATTTATTGTCAAGAACACACACTCTCACTGTGATATTGTATGGATTATTATTAATATTATTATTATTATTATTATTATTATTATTATTATTATTATTATTATAGCCCTCACGGACCACATAATAGCCCAGAATGCAACAGGGGAGGTGGATACCAGTGAAGTAAATAAGATTCGTAGGTCCATTACGACAGATCGACAGCTCTGCCAAAATAATAAGTTGCAGCAACTGTTCCTGCAGGTACCAGAAAATTTGAAAAAAAAAGTAGCATTAGCGCAGGAGGTGGGCGCCTCGAACTGGTTAACTACGTTACCGATAAGGGCAAATGGTTTCAGTCTTAATAAACAAGAATTTACAGATGCCATTGCCCCACACACAACGCTTCCGTGACGCCTGCTGGACCACCACTCCACGACCCCCTGACGGAGACACGATGATCCTCCCAATACTGGCCAGATATTTTGTAAATAATATTAATTATGTGTTAAAGGAACATCCTTCCTTCCTTAGGCTTTAGTAAGCCCCTTTATAATATTTATACTGTATATACTTTTCACACTTGCCAGATGATTCTGGTGTCATTGTACAGGGGTACCTAGTGACAGCACTAGGATCCCGCTTCCTCTATCAAGGAATAAACAATTGAAATTGAAATTGAATTGATGCCATTGCTCTAAGGTACGGTAGGCCAGTAGAAGGTTTGCCTTCCCAATGCTTGTGTGGCTCTTCCTATGACGTCGATCAGCCATGGTGTGCAAGAAAGGGGGCTTCATATGCATGAGGCATGACGAAATAAGGGACCTCACAGCAAATGTGTTGAAGGAAATCTGCCGGGATGTCATGGTAGAACCGACCCTCCTTCCTTTGGTGAGATCTTCCAACACATCTAATGAAGCCCGTGTTGACGTCAGTGCTCGAGGATTCTGGACGCGGGGACAGCGAGCTTTCTTCGACATCAGGATTTTTTATCCCACGGCCGCATGTCACAGTAACCTAGCTCTCGATGCTGCACACGGGAGGAACGAGAACGACAAGAGAAGGGCATATGGGGAGAGAATTCAAACGTTGATCAAGGCAGCTTCACTCCTCTAGTGTTCACAACCTCTGGTGGGATGGGACCAAGTGCAAGATGTTTCTACACCAGACTCGCGGGGGTGATCTCCGAACAGAAGCAGCAGCCTAGAAGTTATGTTACAACCTGGATGAGATGTCGACTGTCTTTCTCTCTCCTTCGGTCGGCTTTGCTCTGCCTCAGGGAAACGAGAGCTTTTGCCCCAACTCCGACAACTGCTGCAGATATTGACTATGAGGCTACAGTCACTGAATGCCGCATAGATCTGGGGCTCAACTAACTCAACACAGCTATGATAGCTACTTATGTATTAGGATAGTTAATTTTAAGGTAATAAAATGTCGGCGGCGGCTAATGGGGGAGGCTGGAGGCCACGTTAAAAAAAAGTTGTAGTATGCAGTAGTAGTAGTAGTAGTATCACCAACACCACAAATCAGTGTAGCAGGTAAGGTGGATCAGGGAGGCGTCACAGGTACACTACTGTTATCTTTTCTCTACAGTATTTGTGAGGTTAGAGGAGGCGGTGTTGGTGTGGTTATAGTACTGGGTGGTAGGTCATGTGGCGGGTGGTAGGTCGTGTGATGGATGGGTGGCGGTGGGTGGTAGGTCATGTGGCGGGTGGTAGGTCGTGTGGCGGGTGGTAGGTCGTGTGATGGATGGGTGGCGGTGGGTGGTAGGCTATGT